AAATTCTGATTGCACAATCAAAACAGTTTGGTTAAGAAAAAGAAATCCTCATAGTTGTGAACATAAAAATGATAACTAATAGCAAGAAAAACCCAATGCAATGGGCAGAAAAACAAAATCATGATTTATAACAATCTGTGATGGACAAGAGGGAATGAGTTTGAATATAGAGATCAAAGAGAAATAAATCTAGGACCCTCAAATTTGTTCCAAGATAACATCACTGCTAGTGTTTGACTGAAATGCCAAATAAATAAATAAGTAAAACGTACAATATGGCAGACAGAGGTAAGTGCGAAGAAAAACAATTAAGCAGGGTAGACAGTTAGAGAATTTGGGAAATAGAATGGGGAGGCTGCTGTCAGCTTGGAATGAATGTTTATGCCTAGAAATACATAACTATTAGAAGACATCTTACATATTTTTTTTTGCGAAGTACTGTTAAAAGTAACCTTTTGTGGATTTAGAAGATCATGCAGCTCTAATTCCACAGGCTTCCAGAATTCCCCCAAAGGGCCCTTGCTGTGTCCCAGTGTGGCTCCCACGCCATGGAGCTCGCTCGCTGTGAGGGGACCCAGGCCCTCCTCAGAGCCCAGACCTCCTGCTGGGTCCAGGGCCCAGAAAAATGTCTACAGAAAGACTTTTCCCACTGTTCAAGATAATTTCCTTGGGGCCGGGCAAAGAGTTACTTTGTGCATCTTAAGTTTTCAAGATTAAAAAAAAGCCAGGCTGACAGCTGACTGCTGATCAATGCTGCGAAACCTCTCCAGAGATTAAGAGCCTCTCAGAGCCCTGGAATTCCCACCCTCCCACCCAGGAGACCTTGTTAGAAGCATTCCACAACAGGCCCCTGGTCATGATTAGGAATGAAAGGCTGAAACGCCCCTCTGACTCAGTCAGGAGTTCCAGCGCCATGTCTCCAGGCCTCCCTCACACTTGAGGTCGATTCCTTAAGAGCCGGACTACAGCTAGACCATCTGCTTTCCCCTCTTGCTTCTCTAACTTCCTGGCTCTGACCCTTCAGGTAAGCTGCATCACCTCATCCCTCCATGGATAATGGGGATAATAATCATACAGACCCTGTTCAGCTTTTGTGCGGATTAAATGAGTTAATGTATGAAAAGCATTTTCTCCCCAAAACATATCTACTGAGTCTCTACCACGTGCCGGACACTGTCCTGGATGCCAGGGACTCATTTAGTCCGGTGCCTGACACAAGAGCTCAGTGTATACCCGTAATTAGAGGCTACAAACCCTCCTGACACTCAGGCTGATAATGATGATGATTCTTTTCTAAAGATAATAGGGTGAATCTTCTAGCTACAGAATATAGATATATTTTGAAGCTTGAGGCCTTTTCATGGACAATTCTCCATATATACAGACATCCTTTTAGCTTCTCTCCAGTGTATATAAAGTGAGGGTACTTAACTCTGTCTCTATATTTATATATAAAACTCCGGGGGTGGGGGTCTGGTACAGCACTCCATGACCACACACGCTAATAACTTCTACCATAAAACATGCAGACATCATACAAAGTGGGATAAATGAAGACAATAAATAGCTTCACATTAATTTAGGTCAGGATTTGCTATCAATTTTTTTTTACATTAAAACCTTTTGGTTTTCAGACCTTTTTGGATTTCAGAAGAGATGGTGGACCTAGATAGTAAGTAAAGGGGCAAAACCCCTTGAGGTCTTCTTTTTTAATTTCTGGACATGCTAATGGCCAAGTAAACAGTCAAAGCCATCCAGCAGGAGAAAATAGGGAGCTTTTCAGGCATGGAAACCCACAACTGCGTAATTAACCTCAATATTATCTAAAGAATCCTTCCCCACCAAATACAGTGCGCCATTAAGATTCTCCGTCAACCAGTTCCTTTCCACAAACAACAGGTCTCAAACCTGTTTGAGGGTTTTTAAGAGTAACCATTGACTATAGGGTAACATACTGAAGTTTTACCACTAGTATAATAATACCACCCTATCGTTCCCCCATGGAAGAAAGACAAGCTATGATTTTAAATGCTAAATAACTGACTTAAAAACATGTACCCTGAAAGAATACAGTCCGCTCTGTAGTCAGTCTAAGGGAGGTGAATAAATGTTAATGCCAAAGTGGGAAACTATTCCGCTACCAAAGGAATTTTCCCCACATTGCATTTAAGGAAATAACCTGCAGCTCTCAGAGAGCTATTCAGTAACCGGATCAAGATGTTTGCACTGCTGGTCCGCACTGGCTAAAGGATTTGCACAAACTCATGGAAGCTAACTTCTCTTGCCTCTTTATTACCCCCATATGTTGTTATTTATCTCCCCCAACTTCTCTGACCCGCTTCCATTTATTTCCTCCCGAAGGATCGCCTTGCTCAAGACCTAAGTTCACCACTCTCACGGTGCTCGGTACACAAAGGCGAGTCAGGAAGACATGAAACGAACAGAGATATTTATGTTGCTTCCTGGTTTTTTTTTCCCCTTCTCATTATCCTCCTACTCAATGAGACTGTAGTGGGAGGTCTGAATGACATTTGCAAAGCAAGAACTTCAAGCTACATTTCAACACCCAACCCCTCAGTTGTCATAGGAACAACACTGTGAGGCTGATCTAGGGTCTGACAAACAACCACTTGTTTCGCTGGTGATTAAAGTTCCCCCTTCCAATCAAGTATGTACACACATGCATATCCAGTCCTCAAAAAAATGTAGCTGGGCCAAACTGTGTACCACACGAAAAATTTGAAATACCAGCCCAACGGGGAAGGAGTTTATATTCCCGAATATGCAAATATCAGTACTATTGCAGAGAAATTATTTTGAGCTCTGTCACTTGACCTGAGTCCCTTCAGTTTGTAGCTTTCCACACCCACAAAGACAAAGACACGGGAGTACTGCTAATATCTTTGAATAAAGTATACAAAAATATTAATATCTCTCCATAACTGTAGCAGAGAACTCAGGGCAATGCTAAGTAAGTTACTGATTGCACATGTATTTTTAAAAATTAATAAACTGATATCACATCAGAGAACACAGAATTGAAAACATGAAGATCTAAAGGAATGCTTCTGGAATAGATTCTCCAGCATTTACTGTTTCAATCTGCTTTTGTCATCTTTTCACCATTCAAAACAATGGCTTCTACATGGATCAGTAAAACCTAAAATTTCGATAGAGCCTTTTTTCAAAACATTAAGCATGGCAGTGTTTAGACAGATTATAACCATCACGTTTCTCCTAAGTATTTACCTGAAACACAGAGCTGAAAATAATTGTGACTCACTGAACACACACTAGCGGTCGGATATAAATTACCTGTAAATATCTTAATGCTTTGTCACCATTTGTCTGTCTTCAGGACTTTGAAACCAATAAATCCATACACTTCAAGGAAAGCAGTAGCATTTTCCCACATCCTCAGTCACATCTTAATTAAGTCAAATAACTTGGAATATTAACAAGTTTGGATGACCAACCTGATTTATTTGGAGGAACCGCTCTTAATGGTCCCACTTACCTTGCTTTTTTATCTATTTCTTTGAAAATAAATACTTATACAGAAGTCCTGAGAGCTATTAGTTGGAGAAAAATAATCTTAAAAGTTCTCAAAGTATATAAACAGGGGGAAAAAAAAAAGACCAGTTAACAGATGCCACTAGATTGCTTTTCCTCCCCTCCACTCTCATCTCACTCTCATGCCAATGAGATAAACTGGAGAATTGTTCCCCTGTTTTTTATTATACACTTTTCCCCTTTCGAGTGAAAGATTTGAAAAATTTCAAAAGTAACAGAATGAAAACCAAAAGTCAGAAATGCAGATTCAACTTTCAGTTTGAAACAAGGTACTTTAAAAAGTAAATAGATAACATTGTGTCCTCCATAACCCCACACTTACAATTCTATCAAGAACAGTTTTAATTGTATATAGTCACATTCATATAGGGCAAGCAGCAAAACTGCCTGTATGTTTGCTAGCAGTGAAAGAACAAAATACGTTTCCATCTGTTTCTGTGAGTGGACATCACATGATTGCTTCTGCTGACCAATAAGAAACTGGTAAAAATCAGGTAGCCACCCATCATTCTAGTTTTATTTTCTTATTTTATTCAACTTTTCCGACACAATCATTCTTAAGAAGCCCAATCAAGACATCAGACACTCAATGCCTAATATAAAACTGTGTTTCCTTACAGTTCACGAACAAGAATTTATTGTATATAATGCAGTTATTCAAAGGTTTATTGTATTTTTCTGGAAATTTAAACGCAGGGGCAGTTTGGATTTCAGATTAGAAAACTGAATTTAAGGTTTCAGAGGAAGAGAGACACAGGCAGACCAGTAAAAACGGCTGATCATGATTTCTCAAAATGTCTCTCAAAATGAACCATATAGAAAGAACCACCTTTTTGCTGCACTAACGCAATCAAATAGAACAATCTTAAAATTCACGACACAAATGCAAAAAAAAAAAATCTCGTACCATCTTAATCTGCCCTTCACAATCAGCAGGAAATTGCTCCGATACATTACTTCAGCTTTCATTTTGTACAGTTCTAACTAAATTCTTGACCTCCTTGGCTAGAAAGAGGGAAAGGAGGGCCAGTTGACTAATTTTGAAAGCATCCCTTCAAATATCTAGCATACATACTCTTCAGACTAAATGGAAATCTACATCCATGGAATGTTAATGCCACAAGTCTACCAAACAACCCATCTTTATTTTTTTCCCCTCATGAAAAGAAAAAAAGGGAGGGGGGTGGACCCAACTATCTGTAGTACATGTATTTGGCTGAACTGGTAATGCTCAGCTCATCTTTGTTAAATTACCTGGCTTCTTCGTAGCCTGTACGCTCTATTCTTGGGCTGTTCCTTTTTAGAATTCCGCACTCTGTTTATATGTTCTTTGGTTCAACACAGTTGTTAGGGGTCTGTGAACAATTTTACAATTCCCACACACACCATATGATATCTATTAGGGAGCAATGCCACTTTACACTTACCAATTCTGGATAAAGCAGTATTTCCTGGTGACAGAATGCTGCTGCTTCCGTTGGCTAAAACGCCCTCTTCACAGCTTGATAAATCTGATTATAAAATGTCTTTGTTCCAGATCACACGAGGCGCTTTTTTTTTCCTACGAAAAGTTTTCTAAAGAGTTATCTGCATTTCATTCCTGTGACAAAACGAATAAGAACAGAGGGTGGGAAAGGGGGGAAGGGGGAAGAGGGGGGCGGAGGGAACAGGGAGTAAGTCCACACAAGTTCCTGGCAAAGATTTTTAGCTGCATTTTTCTGAGTTTAATCAGTAAAGCTATATTAAAGTGACAGTTACCAGTTCGGGGAGCCAGAGTTTGAGCGAGTCAGCCACCACCGGTTTGGGTGTCTTCCACTGATGTGCGGACCCCAAGGAAGTAGTCCCTTGGTCATCTATCACATGTGGCTGAATCACTGGACCCGTCGCACCCCCCCCTTCCCCCCCGGTTCCTGTTGAGCAGCAGCCCAGGCAGGAGAGTGGCCGGACGCCCAAAGCGGGACCTCTTATAGGGACCCGCCAATTAGCTGCTGACCAATTGCAGGCTGCACCTAGTACCTAAGTCACATGACAGGGCAGTCCCTCTGACTGAAGGATTTCTGAATTACTGGGGTTACACAAAGGACACTCATTCAGGAAAAGAGAAAAAAAAAAGCCATAAGCCGAAACAGAAAACGCCCAGACTGTGACAACTCCGGCTTTAAAACAGGGAACACCCGAGCCTCGCACAGACAGAGAAAAAGCCACAAGCAAGCCAGGATGGAAATCAGAGGAATGGCGGGCACATATTAAAAAAAAAAAAATACCCAAAGCAGAGACTGAGTTTACAAACCCACTTCAGCTAGAGGTCGTCTCCTCCTCCTTCCCCTTCCTCTCCGGTCTCCCCAACACTTTTACATTCTAAACTTCTTTCTTTCTTTCTTTCTTTTTTTTAAAAAAAAAAAACCCGGGTGAGCCTTTTTGCAAAGCCACGGTAGGAAAATACGGGAGACACACAAGCCCCAGCTCTTCTCTGCCCCTCAAAATACCCCTAAAGGAGATTCAAAGTCTGCCCTGAAAAAGTGGTTTTTTTTTTCCCCATGAAATACATTTCTCTCAAAATGGTTGGATACATCAGGCAACATTAAACACTGTCAGGACAAATTCGTGCCGTGAGTACCACATCACTCCTCTCCCCTTTTCTTTCTCCCTCTTCGTTCTCTCGCGCATAATCATTTTGGACTTTTCACATCAAGACCGTTCTTGTTAAGTAAATGAGCTCCCACTTAGTGAACTAGCTACCAATTTATTTTCATTTTAACACTCTCAATTTATTTCCTAAATCTTTTTTATGTCCAAGGAAAAATTCAACTGTAAATACCCTCACTTCTTCTTTTGACACCCCCCCTCCCCACCAAAACGGTACTTACATTTGTTCCTTGTTTGTGTCTGTCGGTATCTCCCCCTCCCCCGACATCTGAAGCCAAAACATGGGCTCCGTTTCAACCTTCAAACCTAAAAGGCCCTATTTTGATCGTGCAAGCTGCAAGAGCTCCTCCGAGGCAAGCCCGGAACATCGTGCTGCTTGCCATTCCCAATTTATGGAAGGAAGCGTATGTCAAACAAACCAGGTGATGACTCAGCCTGCCTCCCCCAGCCACGTTTTCCCCAGAATGGGAGGGTAGCGTAAGTGCAGCCCATTTGGATGTGACTCAGTTTTATTAGACTGATGATTGTAGTTCATCTGACAAGCTCACATTTTTTTTTCCTTTATAACTCGTACATTTCAGGATCAGAATGCACGTTCTAAATGGTTTCAAAGAATTGGATTCCGTACAGGAGAAAGTTGCAGGATTATTTTTAAGGGGCGGCAAGGCGCTGGTCCTATTCCCAAATATTTAAAACTTTGTAATTGTTTGCTGAAATTTTTACAACGGAGGCTAACCGAACATTTGAGTTCACATGACAGCAGTAAACCAGTTTTATAATTTTAGGTCTGCTGGAGGCTTTTACCACGAAGCAGGGGGCGGGGGTGGGGGACTCCGACTCTTTCCATCCTGAGGATCTAAGCATAAGTCTTTAAGCCTGCAGCCCACATGGCAGGTTCTTTAGGAAGTGGTCAGGGGGCAAGAGCGCTATGTTGCAGATTTCACTTTTGCATTTACTGCACATTCTAACGTGAGCCACTCACACACAAACATATATGCAATACAAATCTCTCTCTCTCTCTTTCTCTCACACACAAACACATACATACACACACACACACACACACATCTGTACTGTCCTTTAATCCCAACCTGCCTACAAGCTGCAAAATAAAAACTTGAAAAATCTTCAAATGTCATCTGAAAAAAATCCGATTAAATAAATTGGCATGCCTAAAAGTCTTCCTCTTCAATAAAAAAAAAGTTTACTACCAAGACGGGGGTGGCATCACATGGAATAAATTGTTCCCAGGTATTACACAGACAGGAAGAATGCAGTAATAAGAAGTGCAAGTCCCCACACAAAAAATCTGGAAGGCTCGGTCTGAGCAGTTTAACTACAGTTATCTCCTCTCAGCACACTTCCTTTAGCCTTGAGCAAAGTCAGCAACTGCTTGGACCAAGGCTCGACATTTATTGTTGATTACGCCTTGATGGAGAGCTAATTTTGTCATAAAATAAAATAATACATTCTATTTCTATAATACATAAAAATGTTCAACTATCTAATTTTCCAATTGGTAGAGGAGGGCAGACAAAAGGGATATACACAGAAACAATGAAATTCAGTTCATTCGGGAGGTGACTCTGCCCTTCGCAAAAAGTGACCCTTCAGGGTTTTACTGGAATAAACCCACTGAGCTCCAGAAATTAAATCCACACAAAACAATTTGGCAGTGCATTTCCAAATTACACTTTCAACACCTTTCCATTTTAACTCTGTGCACGTATTTCTCATTCGGTTCTGAAAACATATTCATACTTCAACAGGGATGTATTAATCTAGCCACTGGCTTTTGTCAGTAAAATGGTTGGCTTAAAGTTACCTTTCTACAATACATAAAGAACGTAAAATCTATAATTATATGGCTTTTGATGGAAATAAACACAGACTATGAAAACAGCATATTAATAAAATCAAACACCTAAATTTTTGGCAGCTCAAAGAACCTGTAAGATATTTTCAAAGCCTGGAGCCAGACTTGCTGGGGTTTGAATCCTGGCTTGGCTATACCTCACTGTGGCATCTGGATTAAAAATATAATATATGACCGGGGGAGGGTAGAGCTCAGTGGCAGAGTGCGTGCCTAGCATGCACAAGGTCCCAGGTTCAATCCCCAGTACTGCCATTAAAATAAATAAATAAACCTAATTACCTTCCCCACATCCCAAAATTTAAAATATATATAATCTATGGACGTGTGCTGTGTGAGGACTGGCCGTTCACTTATTATTATCATCCAACCTCTACCCTTTACCTGCTCTTTGCATCATCGTTTTAGAGTAACACACACCTTAGTCATTTTCTAAATAACATTTCTGCATGAGGAAAACACAATTCCAAAACTTTTTCCAAAAGAATCACTTGTGATTATTTTACTAATGATGACAAACACCTAGTCAACCCGTATTTTCCTCCCAGAGTTTCAGTGGTTTAAGTACTCATCCGGTTTTACATTTGACATCTGTTGGGACCTTTCTATCCAAACTTCTCGGAGTTTCCAAAAGCCAGTGAAGGATCGGGCTGGGGCCAGCTGGGGAAGACATTCAAGAAGAATTTCCACTCCAGTCAGCCCAGATGGGTCAAGACACAGAAACTCATCGGCCAGAGAAGAAGGTGAATAGGTCAGAGACTGAGGCAAATACGACAGCCCTGTTGGGACAGAGCACACACCACCCCTGACATCAACAAGGGGCCCCCAAACAAGAGGCATGAGGAAGTGGTTTCCCACCCAGAAAAAGGCACCCGAGATCCACTGTTTATTCTCTCTCCAGGGTCACGACATAAAATCCCAGCATAGTTACCCTAAGGGAAAACCATGGAGGGAGGGTGTGCAGGGTGGGGTCCGAAAGGAAACATACATGCATTCTCTCCTATGCTGTCTTTCATTAAGAAATTTCATTTCTTTAAGGAGAAAACTACGTGGATTTCCATGTAAAAACTACATGAAGAAATTCAAGCATCCCACAAACCCTCCAGTAACAAAAGCTAATCGTTTCCAGCCAGCATAGAACATACTTGACGAATGATAAAAAGGACAGCAACCAGACATCGCTGAGGTGCGGGCAAGCTTTATAAATATGGAACTCCCTCAAATATGGTGCTCCAATATACTGCTCTGGGGGAAAAGAGAAATAATTCTCTGTTTTGTTTGAGGGCGAGCAACTGCTCCAACTTGTCTTTATCCAGGCAATGTTTCTGAGACAGATGGTAACATAACGCAGGGACAGCCAGCAGAACGGAGAGGAGGTGATTAGGATTACAAATGAGTATCTGGGGGAAGGCTTGATTCCATTCCCCTCCATCCGGGAAGTCAGTTAGAAGGAAGACGCACGGAGACCCGAGATGCAACAGTGCAGTGAAATCACGGCAGGTTTGGAGCTTGGGCATAGAGCTCCCTCTCGGTCAACCACTCCCGTCTCCAGACAATCTCCAAAACACCAAATGATCCAACTGTGTCGGGTTCCCACGAACCACAACTACAGGTCAGGATGTAGACAGACAGCCTGGGTTTCAATACTGGCTCTGGGACTATTACCTGCGGGGACTTGGGAAACTGACTTCGTTTCACCCAGGCTTTGGTGTCATCAGGAGAAGGGGGATAAATGAGCAAATACACAGAAGGAAAGAGATCACGATGTCAGTAATGTCTGCCACCACCATCAGCTCACTGGGGGTGAGCTGCCACCCCCAGTACCAATCTTCCAAATCCTCAGTGGGGGGAACCCCAACAATCTTAGGCTTCTAAGTCACACTGTTCATTTGAAGGCTGACAAAATGACTCTATCACCTATGTTTGGCAGCGATCAGAAATTTTTGGATAACTGCTAGACTGGCTTTTTGATGATAGCGAAGCATCCTACTTTGAGATCAGAAGACTCCTTTTAGATACAGTGGACGTCAGAGCCCCAGTATTAGAAAATGTTCATAGAAAGCTGCCCTAGGTGGCTATGAGTCTGCCTCTACAGATGTGCACACAAACTATGTCTAGACTTACATAAGACGATCTTAACATTTCTTTATGAGAGTTTGCCTCCGTTCCATGCTTTTCATGTTATGTAAGCAGCCACTCTGCCCGTCTTCCTGCCGTGATTTCAGATCTCAGCAGTATACTTCGCTCAGAAAAGTTTGTATTAGTTGTCGTCTGTCCCCACCCATTTGAAAGAATGAACTGACTCAGTTTTCTGATGGCAACGCCACTGGGTGGGAGTGAATATGGGAGTGGGCAGGGTGGGAGAAAGGGAGGAGGAGGAGGTGGGAGCCAAGAGCTGAATCACAGCCATGTGAGTAATCTTAGGCTTTTTTTTTTCTTCCTAAGGGTATGAATCAAATTAAGCTTGTTTTGCTGTGGGTGAAGAAAGAGGAATATAATAGCGTGAATCAGAGCAATTATCAAATATGTGGCACTCACTAAAAACTAATTACAATCACTGCCTTCTCTCCCGTGTCTGCCGGGTGATACTGGAGTGCTTTTGTTAATCAATATAATCCTTGACAAAACTTCTGAGGCGTTTGAACTCAATCCGCACCCTCTTCCCTTTAAAAATTTCCTTTGACACGTGAATTTCAGACACAGCAATTATTTCGGAGCTTCTGTGAGATAATCTTTGGCCCTTAGAGATAAGTGGGAAGACAAGTATGGCTGATCCTGGGTAGAGACTAGGTTATAAGCCATCAAGCCGTGAGCGCTGGAAGCAAAATTCTGAGTTTATGAAAACAATCGTTCAGAAACCAGTTGAACCTCGAGAGCATCCCAATGCGAATGCTGCGACCAACAGCAAACCCTCGGGGATAGTTTTCGGGGAGAATCAAGTTGTCACATCAAACTTTTAAACTGCCTTCTGCTGAAATAAGTGGATCCTCATCAATTAAAAAATGTATTCAGGGAAAAAAGAATTTATTAGGAGTGATACTGAGAGAAGGATGGATCAAAACATATAAAAATCAGAGTGGCGCTTTTTTTTTTAACTTACATAGAGAATAAGACCATAGCTCAGTTATGTATAGTCAGGGTGCATTATCCAACTAGACTTATTGAAAGGTATGTCCTTTTCTGCTGTATTTTTAATGCAATCTATTTAGTTATTTGTGGGGCATAAACATTACCAAGGGAAAAACTAGCTATCTAAAGAAAAAGGCTCCAATGACCAAATATTTTGTACTCCTGGGCAAGTCGATGCATGAGGAAGTCAAAACAGCATATTTTGAATTTTACTGACACATTTCCATGTTTCACTACACCAGCGAGCTAAAATGCATTGACCCTTTGGTTATTTACACATGGTTTTTTTTTCTTTTCAACATAGGTATAGAAATTACGTACAGAGGCCAATGCACCCTATGGTTTGTAGGATCCTCACCGAATATTCCACACACAGGCGCTCAAGAAGAGTGTCTATCACACTGTCAGGTTTTCCAAAGTTCACGTCTATTTATGGAACAGTGTTTTTTGTTCTAGCATGACCTTTCTTAAGGTCTCCAAATAAATTCTTTCAAGACCACTCCGAAGAGGCGAAAGCTTTGAACTTTTCCATGCCTATGTGTTTCTCGAGTCAGAAATTGTAATTGGGAAGGAAGAGCTGTTTAGGGATGACCCATTTGTATGCCCGGTTTTACCTACCTCCAAATCTGCCTATCTACATGAACAGTTTGGAGATTTTAGTCAAGATATATTCACATTGTCTACAAAAATATACCAACATTGGGTTCATATCAAGGGAACTAGATCTGTTTCCAGACCAGGTGAGCTGGATCTCTATTCCCCAGCCCCCAAGGTCCCTGCCACCCGACTCCAGCCAACTTAACAATATTACAGTATTTGACTTCCTCCCTTTCAAGTCCGTCCTCTCCCTACTTAAAATCTCTAGTTTCTTATTTAGTAGAAATTAGATTCCCAAACCTAATTTTGTCACATCCTGACTTGTATCTACCTCAAGGGAAGAAGTGTTCAGAAATTTTTCAATTCATATTTTAGTTCTTTCTCTTTCTTCAAATGTTATAAG